CGTTAAAAAATTACTTGTTTGACTTACTTTTCATCTCAATTAAGTATTGATAGAATTTTTGCATGATGGAGTTAAATGGAATAATACCATTTTGGTGATTAATTTGTTAATGGGAAATGAAATTTCTATCCAACTCATTAAGACAGTTATTTGCATTGGTCAGTTACAGATTAGACTAAAAGTATATAGGTCATTGCATTATTAAAATCAAATAGTTTGCTAGAAACTATTCTAGGAAACATTTATTTATTTGACTTTATATTCTGCCAAGGACAATAATAAACTTTTTTGCTTTTTGGAACACCAGTCTTTTCCCCCTGCAGTGTTATAAGCTGTATATCTGCTTTTGATTTATTTATAAGATTGATGACAAAATAATAACTATGAAACACCACCCTGACTTCCTTTCTACAATTCTAGAGATTTGTTTGAATGTTCAGTATGGCAAATAAGTCCTGTTTTCTTCCAATAGCTATGTAGTTTATGAATTCAGCTGCTAAATGTTAAAAATGAAAAGAAGAAATGGTGTTTAAATTGTAATCAAAAAAAGATAGAGAGATCTAAAGGGAAAATAGTTCCAACAGCACTCTGAAAAATTTCACTTGGTCGACAGGTCTCCCTCCCACTAAAACACCAAAGACATCAGCCCAATATACATAGTGATCTCTTTCCACATTCTTACTAAATTCTTGCTGATGCATTTATTTCTTACTATATGTTTAAAATGTCACCCACATGGCAAAATCCTATGGTGTCTGATATACATATACACCTCCCTGAAGAATGGGGACAATACCCTGGCAAGGAAAAATGGATCCACGCATTTCAACTTAGGAGAAATGCCTTAATAAGTGATTTTTATGATTTACAACATTAAACTGTGTTTATGTTATCACATGTATATACATTGGAAACCTGCTTAAAAACATTTACTGGATCAAAAGCAAAACCTAGTATCAGATTTTAACACATGTAGGAGAGCAAATGCTGTAAAATGGACATCTTTTGTTTACCTTTGTTTAAGTAGAAGACCTTGTACATATGTTACACTTCTAGACTAATCACACAGAGGATCATATTAGCACACAATTCAATTTGTGAAGAATTTCTTCTGAGCCTACTTTGGACACGGCAAAGCACAAATGAGACAAAAAATCTTCAATATTTGACATTTTGGTCTAAAAGGCAACAGTAAAGGCTTTTTTTGTGTACATTTTTTTTTGCATTTTTTGAACAAGATAATTTTTTGTTACACATTTAATTATCTTTTTGTCTTATTTCACTGTTTTAGGACAACTGTATGCAACAGAACAGGCATCAAGCCACAGAGCATGAAAGTTATTGAAGTTCACCTTGAAATGGATCCTTTGCCTGGTGGCAGATATGATGCTTTTTGTGTGAAGGTTGAAGGTCAGCATTGATATACTACCTCTTCAGGTGCTATGATACCCTAGATTAGAGATGTTTCTTTTCCTTTTTAAAAGATTGCTAACCAGGCAGTAGCAGGAAAAAAACCCTTTGGATGGAGAGAGATGAAAATCTAATGATAAACCACATTCTTTTTAGAATCCTTATAGTGTTCATTTAAAAAAAGAAAGGGTATTTATTTGAAATCATGAGAGTGCTTGATCATAGTGCTGTGATAAAGGTACCTCCTCACTCTTGAACTACCTTCCTCACACCTCTAAATTTGATTTAGAATGCATGTTTGAACAGAGGGTAGTGTACTTTTATTTTAGGAAGGGAACATGCTTTCAGTCAGTGATGATGCAGAGCATGCTCAACATAGGCAAGATGGGGTCATGGCATCACGATCCAAGCTCCATTTGTACATTGCACTAATGTACAAAGGGATGGGGCTTTAATCACTATGCAGTAGTGCCATATGGTCTATTTTGACAACCCCTTGTGGATGCCGTGATTGAAAGCATGGATTTCAACCAAAAAATAAGGCAGAAATTTTGAATAAAGATAGATTCTTCCAGATGCTATCATCAGTTCTCCAAGATGAACTGCTGCTGCTGCTGCTTGTGGAAGCAGTCATCCAATACATCTGAACAGAAAAGAATGGCTTGGGAAAGGTGGTCTTATTTCAAGAACAGAAGCAACTATAATCTTACATGAATTTGTTTCCTTTTCACCCTCTTCTTAATCTCAGGCCGGCCATGTGGGGATCCTCCATCCTTCCCTCATGCCATTCTTCATGATCACACTGGGTTTGAAATGGGAGATGAACTGCATTATGTCTGTGCCCATGGATATGTTATGAGTAACAAAGACATGGCTTTTACTTTGCTGTGTCACACCTGTGGGGAATGGTTTGGTCAAGTCCAGGCTTGTGTCAAAGGTGAGCCCATAGAGATTTTTCAGTCTCTGTTTATAACATCAGTATTTCTTCCTGTACAGGTAGATTTTCTCTTTCTGATATTGTCAGGGCTTTGGGGAAGGAGGTTTGGATTCTTTTGACCAGAAAAATATTCTACCTGACACTGGATTTGAATGGCACAACAAGCTCCAAGTTTCCTTCCCCTCTTCTTTGAGGATCAGTGTGGCAAACCATTTGTCTGTGGGTTTCTTTGAGATTGCCATGTCTGAATCACTTTTCTTTTGATGGGACAAGAAACCATGGGTCCTCTCCCTGACTTATTCCAGCCAGAAGAAGGCATTGTGTAACATTCAGATGACGTAGCAACCTCAAAACAAGCAACAGCCAGAGGGTTTTAATTAGGACTGAGTATAGCACTCATAGCATGCCTGAGAACTCTGGGAGTTTTAGTCCCAACAAATCCAGAAAATTCTGGTTTGGGGAGGCAAATGTATTGATCTTGCTTCTTGCTTTCCTGACTAGCAGCAGCTCTATTTGCAAAGCTAGGAAGCCCATGGACCTTTCAGATGTTATTGGACATCATTCCTAACCATGATCCCTGATTGTTGGGGTTGATTTAGGAACTGAAATCCCAACAAGTCTTTCCCAGCCATGCCATCTGAGACTTTTTGGCCTAAAACCTATGACTTAAATTAACGCTTTTGGGCCCATAAGTTGAAATCATGATGATATAGGAAATATTGTTAAAATCTGAGTGGCTTCCAGGAGGGGAGACGCTTTGTGCTTAAGGCTGCAATGCCCTGTAGCAGACAGTAAAGAGGAGGCATTGTGTTTTTCCACAGCATAGTTTTTCAAGTTAAATGCTTCAGGTGTCACAAACTGTGAAGCTTGGAACCCAGGTTTTTGGAACTTTTTCCTTGAAATAGAACCATAAAAGGCTATCCTGAATATTTTTATATTTGGTATCAGAGGATATTTTAAAAGGGGACATAAGGAATACATAAAACTGATCCTGAATATTATGTTCACAGGGTACCAGAGAATGTGCCAGCAAGGCCTGAATTATGTAACAGCATGATTCCTTTTGTTACTGCTTTCAAAGGAGCATTAGACTCATGCTCACAAATAACCTGCCTTGGTAAGAGGCACAGAATACCTCCTTTCGGGCATCTTGGCAGGTGGCTAAATCAGCTGTTCTAAGCACCCACCTAGACTTGTCCATTCTGGCTCCACCACATGTAAAGGAGACTGATTGAGGGTTGCTTTTCCCACTGCCAGGTAGTACTTGGTGGGAAGGGAAGCAAAGCCAGGAGATTCCACCAATTGCTTTCCTTAACTTATTCCACATTAAAATTGTAAGGGCAGCACCTCTTGCCAGCCTCATTAATGAGGGACCGGCAGTGAGAGCAGCACAGTTTATTTCATCATACTTCTCTGTTAGCTCGTGGACTTGAGGATAGTACATTAATGCTGTCTGAAACACATATCTTCATAACCTGAGTTAGTGAGGATATAATAGACTTTCCGTGAGTCAAATTAGGCATGATAGAAATAGAGCCATATTATACGTATTTTTTTCTTATTTTATTGTGAAGTGAATTTGGAATCCAGTCAGCATTTAAAGAGATTAACCTATTTATTAAAGACAGATTACTACAGATGAAGCTTTTTAGCCTGATGCCATCCCAGTATGTTGAACTGTAATTTTCATCATCCCCAATCAACAAGGCTGTTGAAGAGTAAACTGGTAGTACTTTTCTGATGGAAATCCTTTGGCTTGGTTCATAAATCCTTTGTCTCTCTGTTATATTCAGTATCTTCTTCTTCTTGTCTGTGTTCACACTTCGTGTTCAAGTCAGAGGTAGACAACCTATTTCTTCCTACCCTATTTGCACCATGCCTTTTGAGATTTTCTGAAAGCAAAACTGAAAAATATAATTTCTCTGTGTTTTGAGGGTGGAATAGTTACCTTAGTATAGTCTGTTTTTTTCTGATTTAGGGAAAGTTTAAAAAATATAAAGAAACCACATTACAATTTAATGTGACATAGAAGCCTATCTGTATGAGAGGAATTTCATAAATTGCACCATAAAATTGATACCACCTGGCTGTTGTTAGAATAAACTTGCTGTTCCTGTTTTTTTTAAAAAAACTTGCATGTACTGTTATGCTCATTGACATACCCAGACTTCATATAGATATGAATCTCTGAGTTTCAAGTTTTAAAAATCTAGAAGCCATAGTTTAGAATAAAATGAGAACAATTCTTAATGATTTAAAACTTTGGCATGTGTTTCTAAAGATGATTTTGAAACCCTGGACTGACAATGTAATACTAGGTATATCTACTCCAAAACAAGTCTCATTGCATGCAATGGACTTGGAAAAAAGTGTGTAGAATCACAGCCTTGTCATCTTTAAGGCATAAACCTTCTTTATTAAGCTTGATCTCTAGAGGTATTTGATTATTATTTAGAATGTTTTTTAGTTTCTTTTGATTTCTTTTGAAATTTCTGATTTCTGATCAAAGCAGAACACAGTTACCAAATAAATATGTAAGTTGTATATGTTTTAGCAGTTCTTTTCTTCCTTCTCTGTCCACAGTAATTCATTATTATGGTAAACTGATATATTCTTACCCATCCAGTTTTGATGAAATACAAAGGAAGGCTAATTAATGTGACGATATACAAGATTGAAAACTGTATGAAGCAAGAAAAAATCCATGTAGAAAAGTTATTGATGCTTGACTGTAGATATAAAGGCACTACAGTCTCTCATCCCTGCTATAAAGTAAATTCTTGATACTGCGTGGTGTAAGAAAAGAAGGCTTTCTCACACTCAGTTGTTAAATTTTAATTGCAAAGTGATGTTGAAGGGGAGACATCAGTAGGGTTATCTGGGGATTTGGATTCAACCCCCAAAGGAGATCATATTTATTAAGAAAGACTATGTTAGCCATTTCTGACTTCAAGAGGGCTAATACTCTTTTCAGTTTATATAATTATGAAAACAAGTTTTAGATTAATATCCTGTTTTCTGCTATGGATATATGCAACTTCAAAATAGTAGGCACAGTCTTTATATCAGTGTCAATTTTGCCTTCAGTAGAAGCAAACTAACATATGCTAGCTAGGAGCTGATGTCAAAAAGCCAAAGTTTATTACTGATTGTTACTGATACCAAAGATTATTCCTAAGAAAAATAAAAGTAACCTCACCAAAATGGCATGGGAGAATAGTCTTTCAGACATCATAATTTTGATAAGTCTTCCTTTGCATTCCTCTCCCATTCTCTTAGTGTATTAAACTGTTCAATAACTAAAGACCAAAACTGACAGGATATTTTAGAATTTCCTAGTCAACATCTCATTATTTTTTTTAAAGAAGTATCAGACAGCTAAAAAGTTATTTCTGGCAGAACTTTCTGTCTTCTTCAGGGGAAAGAATCAGAGCAGCCATAATAAAACCAAGACAAGTAAAAGAGAACCAGTTTTATAGAATTTGGAAAGGAATGAAAATGCGCACTAACTGACATTGTTCAAGAAATGAAATTGTTCAGCTTGGAGACTGAGTGGGACTTGCTTGCAATAAAATATACAATCTCACTCATTGATTTTTTTAAAAAGCTACACTATAATAATTCTGTTTTGGGTTATTCAAGTGTATTAAACTGTAACTGCAAAGCTCATTATAAATTCTACTCTGATTTGACTTCCCAAATTATACAAAAAATTGTACCATGTTTACCCAAATTTGATGAAAAAAAATGGTACAATTTTTTAAAAATGGACTTCTGCAACCTAATGCCCTTTAAAAGTCTATAAAAACGGTCTACAACTTCCATCACCAACAAGGAGTGTGGGCACTAATTCAACATATCTAGAGAGCACCAAGCTACTTTAATACATGATTTAACTAGAAAAAACAAGTATGAAACATCTCTATAGAATTTTGATTTTTATTTGTTTAGTGTCTGTGGAAAAAGTGTTTGGTGCTGAAGTATTGATGCAACAATGTTGTAGGATGATATTGAAGGAGATTACATCATTTAAGAAGGCAGTGCTTCTTAACCAGTAAACCAGTAAATCATAACTTGAGACATACTTTTGTACCCACAAAAAGTGGCATTATATTCTGTCTTTAAACCATGTTACTAGCTAGCAGTTCAGACATCTGCCAACCAAATTTTTTTTATGGACTGCAGTGCAAGTAAGTTATTGCCACATTAGATCAGAGATCTGTCTACTCCAGCGATTTATTTCCCATAGCAATCAGCCAGATTTCTTTAGTAAGTTTAGTTGGAGGATGCCTTACCCAAGGCATTTTTCAATTTACTGCAATGAAACTCAATGTTTCATTGATGTTTAGAAGAGTGTGTGTGTGTATGTGTATATTTATGTGTGTGTGTGTGTGTATACACACACACACACACACACATATACATGCATGCATGCATGCATGCATGCATGCATGCATATATAATCTGTAGTACAAACCGCTCCATACAGACTCTA